TGCTCTGGATAACTCTGTGTCAAAAGCTAAAATTACAGGCCTGAACAAAGGGGGAGAGCGCAGGTCCCGAAGCTGAAGTAGGGTCCCAAAATTTTGGTGGCTTATTTGCCAAAACTTAGGCAAATCCATTAACTCCTCAGATGGATGTAGTGGGTATGACCTTGTAATATGCTGTAGGGATAATGTGTTATTTGCTAAACACAGTCTTAGGAGCGCAGAGCTGGCAGTAACAGCTCTAGGCAAGGAGAAAAGTTAAAATAAATCTCTAGCCAAATTATTCTTATTTGTTTGTTTTCGGGTAACTAAGGGAGACGAATGGATGGAGGGGTGATCACCGTTATTTGTAGGTTTATTGCTCTCTAGATTTTTTAAATTGTGTACACATGTAAAAGCAGAATGTAATATTGGATAACAAAAATAGGTTGTTTTCTGAAGTACCTGTATTTACTTCTGATTTCCCACCACCCCATCCAATTCATCTTTATTAGAAATCTGGGTACTGATGTCCTGAACAACTGATTAAATGACGGACTTAAAGGCGACTCTGGTTATTTTATAGCCTTTGTGTTTCCTAATGGTAAGATGTTGATTTAACAATCAGTAGGATTATGTGATGCTTATATTCTTCACAGTTAATGGAAGTTTCTTGTATCATATTTAATTTCGTCCCGGTCCCTGTAGGTACCCCACATCTTCACATCTAGACAGTAACTTAACCCCTTGACTCTGTGATAAAGTTTGTAATCCTTCTTATTCTGGTTTTGGAGAACAGCTCTGTGACAAGGTGTGAAGTTAATTTTGCAAGAAAGTGGAGTGTGTCTCTTACAAGCTTGGTTGGAAAGTCCGAAAGCAAAAGTCCGTGCTGCTTCAAGAATGTGCTGCCACTTAGCTTAGAATTCAAAATCACAGCTTTGACACAGATGTGGGATATATGTTTGCGGGTTTTAATGCTTTTGCGTATCAACAAGTTGATTTTTATTGCACTTCCTTGCTGTGTAAACAACCAACCTCAGTTTTTTTGCTGTTTAAAAAAGCATAAAAAATAAAGAGAAGCACTGGCAAAGCAACTCCCTACCGCGCTATTCTGGAACAACGTTAAGCTGTACTACGGCTGAAGTCTCTAAAGAAAAAGGGTTGGCAGCTTTCACGATTGCCACTTTCTTAAAATGGATGGGATTGGTCCTCGCAAATATTTACATCTTCCAAAAGGAGATGGACGTAATAAGTTAATGAAACTTATTGTGACATAAGAGCCTATAGGTGTTGTCTTTGACTTGGTGAATAGTCAGCACTATTGTTTTC